GCACTACGCGTCGAAAACGCTTGATGAAAACGTCAACATATTATACATATATGTAACGAAAACACAAAACTGTGGCATACAGTGATAGCTTTGGTAATGGGTTTCAAGATCGCCTTAGTTTGTTATGTTGCATTGAATGTGTGCGTTTTCATCTTTGGCCCTTATATTAATGAGATGTTTTCCTAATATCTATAGTACAATTATGATTGAAATATTTTTCATATTATTCAACCACTCCAAGCGCATACTATATATTACCACCAACGTTTAATAATAGTTTATTATTATTAACTATGTAATATATTAAAATCATACCATGTTCAATATCTGTTGAGATTCTAGCAGTCAAAATATTACATGAACTCATAAACGCGGGTATGCGTTGTTATTTAATATATCTTTTGGTTGCATTTTCAGGTTACTTTGTCATTAAGTACCATCGAAATAACTGCACTTCCCTGCTCCACTTTTTTTTCCCGGCTACACTTAGTAAAGCTCAAATTATACTTAAGAGATGCTGCGTCCGACGTGCTCAAGATACAGATAAAAGTTCCGTTAAACGTAATAAAAATGACCATCAAATACTTCTAACACCACCAAAAATCTGACTAATACTATTGTTGCAACAATATTATCATAATCATCAATGAAAATCTCTGTAAACTATATATTTGTTGCACTACTATTCATTTTAAACTGAGTTCATCCCATATTCTTAATAATAAAACAAAATAGAAAAAAATATTTTTAATTAACGATATACCTAATAATTATGGATGTATGTAAGTATTATTAAAATTCGCATGAGACGATCCTCGCAGTCAGAATGTAATTTTGGCGCTGCGCAAGAGAAAAATATATGACCCTCACACTCACGTACACATAAGCACACGTAGGACGCACTCCTAAACACACTCATACATACGCACATGCACGTGTTTGTCTGTTGATTGATGTATCCAACGAAAGATAGTGATAGAGGAAGAGAAAGAAAGAAACCAGACAGTCACTAAAAACCCTTGGGGTACAATCGGGCAAAGATCAAAAGATAAGGTTTGAACAACGCACAAATACGTGGTCGCAACCACATACGTACCCTGTTCACGGGCGCATATTCTTCTGCAACCGTTGCCTTGGATATATCACGTTACTATTACATAATCCACCGTTCGCGTGGTATAAAATGTTATTTTTCGTATTTTATTTTTAATTTCGACCCAGATCATTTCCATATTAGGTTAAGTAATTCGTGTGGGTACAGGTTCGGGGAGGCGTAACGTGACGGTTAAATTATTTAATAGATTTGTACACGTATACACGTATGTGGTGAAACATGCCTTTGCGCACAAACGGCCACGAGAGGGATGTGGTTAAATATGTTTGAAATACGTCAACTGACCACGTGCCACCACGTTCAGATAAAACGTGTCACCCGTGTGGTCGAAAAATGATTCACATAACAGTCTTATCGCGATATGAAATACGACGCACTACACGAATTTGAATGGCACGTAAAAATAAATAAAAATTATTTATTGTTGAACTGGCTAGTCCGATTACAATAATTATGTGAAAACATAAAATAATGATACATCGTAAGGACTTTGTGACTTTATAAAGTATATACTTAAGTGATTAAATTACTTAAATATCATTTAAAATAAATAGTAAAGTTGCACGCGAAAAGATTAATATTAAAATGATTTACATGTTTCATGATTCTAATTAAATGAGAGTTTTTACAACATGATGTACGTTAGAATACATATAAGTGTTTTTCACATGATTTTCACATAATACATCAGTTTTATATTATACCTTTATTTGTCATAATCCGATTTGGTCAATTCGTAACGATCGTTGAATTTTCGGTGCTCTGATCGTTATTGGTGTACTTGTACCTTATACGGTTATGCGGCTTTACAAGTATTTTCATTTTAAACTATATTTTCTTTTTATTTAAAAGCAAAGTAAATTATTGCGTAAAATGTAATATTTCTGCTCTTTCATTCCAACGTGAAAAAGATTATATTTGTGCAATACAACCAAAATTATAATTTCTGATTTTGAATTCAGAATTTGGGCTATTTGATTTTATTCTGATAAATTTAAAAAATATTGCATTCCAGGACCATGTACAAAATTATATTTGAAAAAATATTTCAATATGTACAAAATAGAATCCATTCGTATATGCGATCTACGAGACGTCAAATTAATGTTCAACATATTTATAAACACCAAAATATACTCGTATTTCATCGATTCTTAAGATATTTATTTTAATATTAATTTTGTTTCAAACACCTAACCTTCAGGGTTACAAAATTATACAAAGTCTTAACGTTGTTTAGTCCAAGAATCCTCAACTGGAAGATTTAGATCCACCTGTGGACACTTGAGCCCGTAGTACCCATAGATCTGGTATTTAAATATCAAGGAAATCAGTGTGCTAAATCTACTAAACATATTACATAAATAATTATTAATTTATTTATTTATTTTTTTTTTAATAAATATAAATAAAAAACATTTTATCATATTAAAATCAAATTAAAATTATTCATTTCACATAGAATCTAAAAAGTGTTTTGCGCTAAAAATGATATATACTATTTCAAATCAGATTTTGGATGTACTAACATTTTTGCCATGATGAATTGTGTATATAACAATATATTTTATTCTACTCTTCCGGCACGTTATTATTATAATATTTTCATATAGTTGTAAATACATTATGTAAAAATAATATAATGATAAATAATAATCGTTGTTTTCCGTACAGGGAAATATGATTACAGCGCAGAATTAATTAATGCATGCCGGGACAAGAGAATGAGATATTGTATTTGATTCCATGATGTCAAAAATGGAAAATGTTCAAACCATGAACGAACCTATATATTATTTTTATTATTATTATAACACGAGTATTAATGTGAGCAAAAACTCACGAGCAAACAACTTTTTGTTGGTCGAATAATGATATCATAAATTATCGAGCGAATATTATGATGAAATTGTTCTGTCGGAAATCGAATAATAATTGAGTTCACATATAGTTGTCACACTGTCAGTTATAATATTATCTGACTCTACTCAACATTTTTTGTGTAGATATTAATATAAATATCCCTTGAACATTAATTAAATGGCATACCATAACTACGTCTAGGTCGCATTATGAATATAAATCAGTTTTCTTATTATAATTACGAATAAATTAAATACATAGTCCTCAAACTTTATCACGGGAAAGATTCTATTATCAATTACATTTTTAAACTGATTACAATAACTAATATTTTTTGTTCATTGCTGTAGTTGTTGCAACTAGTTTAGCACGGCACTATGTTTAGGCAAAATAGGTACATGCATGCATTATAATATCATTTGTAATATTAACACTCCGTCGTGTGTATTATAATGGTATTATGGTACATTATGCCTGACCGAGAGCTTTCAATATTTTCGTAAGCTGTTTCATATAGAAATGACCTAATATTATTATTATAGGTTTAACTATTTTTTTTTTGTACTACTCATTCTAGAATTAAAAAGTTTGTAACTGACAAGTTATGATGAACAATCAATTTGCAGCGACAAATCGAATACTCAATCCTTAAGAAAAAATACTTGAACATTTAGAAATGTCCTGATGTTTATTAGTATAAATCTAACGCAAACGTTTACCTAAAAAACAAACCCACCATTGAGAAACCTAGGAATAATGTGTACTAAATAAACTGCAATAAAGTGAATTTATGCATATAAGGTCAACATAATCAATAGTTTAATCATATAACTTTTAATTTGTTAATAAAATCAAAAACGATATAATGTAAGTAATTTTATAGTTTTGTGTTTTTAGTTTGATAAAATTAACAACTAAATTACCATCACAAAAATCAGTTATTCAACTTGAACAACAATAGTTTAGAAGATTTGAATAATGTGTTCGGTCCTGTTACATATCAACCATAAGGCGTAGTTGGTAACACTACCTCGTGTCCTGGCGTGGACGAGTTGGCAACGCGTATAGTGATCGTATATGTTTTCTCCTTCTTCGCCGCCAACACAGGAGTGTAAAACACGATCTAAACTGCGTTTTATTTTATTCACTTTTTCGTGGGTCTGTGTGTTTTATGGTTGTATTCCGGATATCCGTGCGCCTTCGTCGCCATTTTTTCTTTCACCTTCGTTTTTGAACAAGTAATACGTGCGCCTTCGTCGCCGTTAGTTTAAATGCGCCTTCGTCGTCTTTTTGGATTATAATATACGCCTTCGTCGTCGTATACGCAATACGTGCGCCTTCGTCGCCGTACAAGTGATACATACGCCTTCGTCGTGTTAGTAAGTGAACTATACTTGGTGAAACTTAGTTTTAGTGTGGACGTGGATAATTTCGGATACCAGTCATCGTGGCGCCGTTTGGAGACAGGTCAACCTTTTAATTATTTTATAAAACCAAATATATTTGTCCTGTGCGCCCATTGGGGACATTTATTTTATATTTATTTTATGCATTATACGTTGCTTCTCCCCCCTTTGCCTTTAGTTTATAAGCTTATTCAATGTTTATTTAATTTAATATAATAAGATTTTGTATTTGATAAACCAATAGCTGATCATTTTATTATATCCCTCCTCCTTCATCCTTTAATTTTCCATCTATACGTGTGGCAATCGACCGGATTCTGCCGTGGCGATAAGCTCTCGTAATATACACCTGCGAGAATTTCGCGCGCACATTTTTGGTCCTTCGAGCCGGATATTTGCCGAGATAATATATTTGGAAAATGGGTAAGCCCAAGACTGATACAGCTAAAAAGGAGTTGACACGCGCGCGTACTGTGCGTGATCAAACGGTCAAGTCTATCCATAGCATACATTCGATGGCTGTCAAAGTCAATAATAATGGTGCGTTAATTGAAGATTTGGCAGTTCGCATGGATAAATTAGAAAATTTATTCAAATTATTTCAAGAACAACAAAATATGATTTTGGATGTCCTAATAGAACTCAATATAGTCGATGAATTTTCCGTTGATTCAGACGTAACAACCTCCACAGAAGAGTTGTACTACAACACTTGTGCTATAGCCGCTAAATTACACAGTGTTAAACCAATGAATAGTTCTGTGTTAAACGCCCCGCCTATATCGACTTCCACGTCTTCCGTTTTAGCATTACCTAAAATCGATTTGCCTAAATATGATGGTAACTTAATTCAATGGAGACCTTTCCGTGATAAGTTTGTATCCTTAATACGCCGAAATGACAATCTAAGTAAAATTGACCAATTTCATTACCTATTATCTTGTTTATCTGGTCCGGCATTGTCTTGTGTCAGTTCATTACCATTCACCGGCAGTGATTATGATATTGCCTGGAAGACATTAATGAATCGTTACGACAACCAACGTTTATTGGCTTCAGCCCATTTGGATAAATTATTTTCATTTCGCCCAATGGTTGCAGAATCATTGCCATCTCTTCTCAACTTCATTAATATTTTTCAAGAAAATGTGGCCGCGATTACTGCGCTTGGTGTAGACAATCTATCTGACTTTATGTTATTTTATATTGGGTCGCGGTTATTGGACCCGATTACTCGACAATTGTTCGAAGCCAGTGTTTCGCAGGAAACTATTCCTACTTTTGATTCTTTGCTTACGTTCGTTCATCACCGTTGTAGAATCCTGGAGAATACCAAAGGTCCAGACAATGATCGAACCGAAAAGAAACACACACGACTCAAGGATTATAAGACAACCAGGTCATCTCTTACCACTACATCAACTAGCAAAAAGGGGTCCAATCCAAAATGTCCATGTTGTACAGGAGAACATTTTGTGTACCGTTGTCAAGTTTTCAAGGATCTTCCAATACAAAAACGACGGGATACGGCGTTGTCAACAAAATTGTGTTTTTCATGTTTGAGTCCTTCACATACGGCAAAAGCATGCAAATCTAAATGGTCATGTTCAGTATGTAAAAAACGACACCACTCTTTACTTCATCAAGATTCCATCTCATCATGTGTTGTACAAGGAAACGATCCTATTCAAAGCACTTCACAAGATAACATTACTAAGTTCTCTGGGTTGTCATGTGTCACTTCCACGGTCGTGTTGGGAACCGCCATAGTTCGTATGTGTAACTGCCGTGGTGATTATCAAACCGTTCGTGTATTATTGGATAGCGGATCACAAGTATCAGCCATGACCATGCGATGTGTATTAAAGCTAGGCTTTCCCAGACGCAGATGTCAAATAGGCATAGTTGGTTTATCAAAGAAATCAATAGATAACGTAAAAGGGATTACCAGTTGTCACTTTGTACCATGGCAACAACATGAACCTTCGTTCTGTAGTTCTGACATCATTATTTTACCTCAGATTACCAATAACATGCCTTCAATGCCATTACCACCTTGTGTTCGTCAGTCTTACGGTCATCTATCATTGGCTGACCCTTCATTTGATGTTCCCTCATCTATAGATATGCTCATTGGTGGAGATTTGCTTCCTCACATAATGAAGCCCCGAGCCGACATTTTACAACGTCAAGGTTTGCCGTCAGCGGTGGATTCTTTCTTGGGATGGGTTGTTTTCGGACTCCTTGATGAACAAAATGCGTTTTATGCTCACTCGTTGTCAGTGACGTCATCTTCCTTAAATGACATGATTCGATCTTTCTGGTCAGTTGAAGAAATTACGCAATCGAAAAGTCCCACCACTGAAGACCACCAATGTGAGAAATGGTTTTTAGAAACGACAACGCGTGATGACCATGGCAGATTCTGTGTTGCACTTCCATTTACAGATACGGTATTGTCTTCGCAAAACCATTCGAAATTCAGGAAGAATCAAGCCCAATTCCCCTCCAGTATGTTTTTGCAAAATCATGGCCTCGGTGAGTCTCGCTTACTTGCGCAGAAACGCTTATTCAATCTTGAAAGCCGTTTAAATAAAGATCCAGCATTATACGCCGAATATCAGCAATTTATGAAGGAATACTTGGCTCTGGGTCATATGAAAAGAGCGACTCAGGCTGGAAAATATTTCATCCCGCACCATGCTGTCGTGAAACGTGACGGTAACAAGATCGAAAAGTTGCGTGTTGTGTTCGATGCATCTGCTGCTACATCGTCGGGTTTATCGCTAAATGACGTCCTTATAGCTGGCCCTAAGTTACAGGTTGATATTTTTGATATTCTTGTAAGGAGTAGGTTAAAACGTTATTTGTTAACCGCAGACATAACCAAAATGTATCGACAAATTTTGTTAAAACCCAACGACTGTGCGTACCAACATATATTATGGCGTGAATCTCCTGAGGAAGAAGTGATTGAATATGAACTTCGTACTGTCACGTATGGCGTTACTTCTGCTCCATATTTGGCTATTCGATGTTTGCATGAATTAGACGCTCAGGGTGGTTCAAAATTCCCAGCCGCAAAAAATATTCTCACTCGCCAAACGTACGTTGATGACATCGTGGTAGGAGCAGATACAGAAGTGGAGTTATCTATCATTCAACGAGACATCATCGGTTTATTGAATTCTTGTGGATGCACCTTAAAAAAGTGGACGAGCAACTGCCCGGTTATCTTGGAGAATATCGACACTAAAGATCACGCAAAATTATTATCATTGGATCCCAAAGGTGAGGCCTCTGTGAAGGTTTTAGGCCTTCATTGGGACCCATCATCAGATCATTTTGCTTACCACACAAGTCTTCGCGCGGGTCAATATACCAAACGAAAAGTGCTCTCAACTATCGCTAGACTATTTGATCCAATTGGTTTCTTAGGACCCACACTGTTATGGGCCAAGATTTTTATGCAAGAATTATGGAAACTGGGTCTGCATTGGGACACTCCACTTCCAACACATCTTCACTGTAGTTGGGACCAATTTGTAAGAGAACTACCAGAACTCGATTCAATTATTCTTCCTCGACATATTGATATCCGATCCCATACGGAAATTCAACTAATAGGATTCTCTGATGCATCATCAAATGGTTATGCTGCTAATGTATACTTACGAGTAATCAGCACTTCAAATTCTATCAACATTTATTTTGTTACTTGCAAGACAAAGGTCGCACCATTAAAGGCTGCTGACCCACACGCATCACTATCCATACCACGACTGGAACTTTGTGGAGCATTATTATTAGCTCAAACCTTAAATCGAGTCAAAACTTTACTTATGTCTGAAATTTCCATTTCACGAGTACTTGCTTGGACTGATTCTACAGTTGTCTTATCGTGGTTGACTGCTCCTCAAAAAACTTTTAAAATTTTTGTGACAAATCGAATTGCAAAAATACATTCTCTTCTCCCAGATTGTGAGTGGGCCTACGTAAACACAAAGGAAAATCCAGCCGATCCTGCATCCCGAGGTCTTCTTCCTGCTGCAACAGTTGCCTGTAAAATACACAGAGAAGGACCGGACTTTCTTCGTTTTTCAGATGCTCAATGGCCCAAATACGATTTCATTCCAATTACTCCTGAGAAATTACCCGAATTTCAGCCTCCATCTATTTTCATAAGTACCATGACTAGCACCGAACCACAAGATGACATTTTACAACGTTTCTCGTCCTTTACTCGTATGCAGCGGACATTAGCGTACATTCGACGTCTTGCTATCAAGGCCCGTCGTCAACCCATGCCAGATGGTCCCTTGAAACAAGAGGAGTTACATCATATTCTTATTCACGCAGTTTTGATTACACAAGCCAGATACTTTCCCGAACTCAAAGGTCAATTAATAAAAACAGATGGTATATTAAGGCCAGCCACTATAGCTCAATTAGCCCCATTCATCGACCCACTTGGAGTGATTCGGGTGGGTGGTCGACTTCGTTATGCTTCTTTGGATTCGGATGCCAAACAACCTATCTTGTTACCGAAAAGATCTCATTTGACCCAATTGATCATTCGACATTTCCACCAAGGATTCTTACATGCCGGTCCTAAACTTGTCTTATCAATGATCAGAAGAAAATTTTGGATCCTGTCCGGTAGAGATGCGGTTCGCCAATTTATCTTTTCTTGTATAACCTGTGTTCGTTTTAAAGCATGTCGTCCACACTCAATCATGGGAAATTTGCCGTCATCGCGCGTCCAACAAAACAGGCCTTTTTCGCAGGTCGGTATGGACTATGGTGGTCCGTTTTTAGTCAAGGAGAGTCGCCGCCGTAATGCACGCACAAATAAAATGTATTTAGCCCTATTTATATGTATGTCGGTTAAAGCCGTTCATTTGGAAATTGTGTCGGACATGTCATCCACTGCATTTTTAGCTGCATTCGATCGATTTGTAGCTCGTCGTGGTATACCGTCCAATATATACACAGATTGTGGTACTAATTATGTGGGAGCGGCAAAACAACTAAAAGCGTTATTTCAAGATAATCAAACTCAGACGAATGTTTCTAAACATATACCTTGTCAATGGCATTTCAATCCTCCTGCAGCTCCACACTTTGGTGGGCTTTGGGAGGCGTCTATAAAAAGTGTCAAACATCATATGAAGCATGCAATTGGAAAACAAATCCTAACACATGAAGAATTGTTAACATTAGTGACTCGCATAGAAGGGATTTTGAATTCCAGACCTCTAACCCCACTCTCATCTGACCCTAATGATATATGTGCATTGACCCCCGGCCATTTTCTAATAAGTCAACCTATCATGGCTGTGCCCGAACCTGATGTTATTCCATGTCCAATGAATCGTCTCGACCGCTGGGAGCTACTCCATCAATGCCATCAAACGTTTTGGAAACGATGGACTCGGGAATATCTTACCACCCTCCAAGGGCGTCTCAAATGGTACCAACCCACACCAAATTTATCCGAAGGAGACCTAGTTATCGTGGAAGCTCCGAATCGCCCACCTACGGACTGGCAATTAGGTCGTATCATTGCAGTCCACCCCGGTGAAGATTCAATTGTACGTGCGGTAACCATTCAAACTCGAGATGGTGTACTTAGACGTCCAGTCGTCAAATTAGTGAAACTACCAGTATCCGATTCATCCTTCCCTTGATCAATCATTTAGTCCTAAGTTTTTTTTGTTTTTTTTTTTGCACTTTATGTTAACTTAGTTTTAAGCATTCAGGTGATTTTTTTGTCAAGATGAGCTGTCCTAATTTTTTTTTTTTGAAAGTCTACGTCTTTCAACGCTGGGAGAATGTTCGGTCCTGTTACATATCAACCATAAGACGTAGTTGGTAATACTACCTCGTGTCCTGGCGTGGACGAGTTGGCAACGCGTATAGTGATCGTATATGTTTTCTCCTTCTTCGCCGCCAACACAGGAGTGTAAAACACGATCTAAACTGCGTTTTATTTTATTCACTTTTTCGTGGGTCTGTGTGTTTTATGGTTGTATTCCGGATGTCCGTGCGCCTTCGTCGCCATTTTTTCTTTCACCTTCGTTTTTGAACAAGTAATACGTGCGCCTTCGTCGCCGTTAGTGAAGTGCGCCTTCGTCGCCTTTTTTGGTTTATAATACGACGCCTCCGTCGTCGTATACTCAATACGTGCGCCTTCGTCGCCGTTAGTTTAAATGCGCCTTCGTCGTCTTTTTGGATTATAATATACGCCTTCGTCGTCGTATACGCAATACGTGCGCCTTCGTCGCCGTACAAGTGATACATACGCCTTCGTCGTGTTAGTAAGTGAACTATACTTGGTGAAACTTAGTTTTAGTGTGGACGTGGATAATTTCGGATACCAGTCATCGTGGCGCCGTTTGGAGACAGGTCAACCTTTTAATTATTTTATGAAACCAAATATATTTGTCCTGTGCGCCCATTGGGGACATTTATTTTATATTTATTTTATGCATTATACGTTGCTTCTCCCCCCTTTGCCTTTAGTTAATAAGCTTATTCAATGTTTATTTAATTTAATATAATAAGATTTTGTATTTGATAAACCAATAGCTGATCATTTTATTATATCCCTCCTCCTTTATCCTTTAATTTTCCATCTATACGTGTGGCAATCGACCGGATTCTGTCGTGGCGATAAGCTCTCGTAATATACACCTGCGAGAATTTCGCGCGCACATAATGCAACCTCGGTGGTCATCAAAACTAGGTGCACTTATGTTATTTTAGATAAATGTATACATAATTTAAATATATATATATAAATTTATGCGGTATTGAATAGTTGAATTTGGTGAAAATATATGGGATTAAGATATAAAAGTCTGCGGTTTTAAACGATGACCTGTTTTTGAAAGAGTGCGGTTGTGAACGACGCCCTGCAATCTAGTTGTAACGTTTTTTACCGTTATCTTATTTAAAAATTAAAAAATTAAATTTAAAAATTATTTTTTAAGGCTCAACTACTACTTTATTCAATGGGATATATGATATATATATTTTAATAATATAAATTGAGTACAATTGTATTATAATCGAGTTGATTTTTGTAATATTATAGTTGTACTTCGATGTGGAAACTAAATTAATAATACAAAGTAAATTAAGAATAATTAAATGTGTTTAATTAATTATTTATCTTAAAGTAAGTATTTGAGATATTGTTAAGAAAATAACTAGTATAATTATTAAGAAGATGAAGAGTAATATGAATTATTAATTAAAATTTTGTTGTACTCTATTTATATGTATATTTTTAATTATAAATTAAATTAGGAGAAAAATATTTAATCATTTTCGACGTAAAATGTATTTAATTATACATTGATATTGTAAAATCAAAATTACATCTAAATACTATATTTTTTTTTTTTATATAAAATTAAAAAAATACAATTACTTTGAGATATAAAAAAAAAAAAAAAAAAAAAAAAAAGAATCTGTAATTTATTTTTGTATTTGTGATTATTTAACTATCAGTCTAGTGTAATATTTAAGTAACAATAATATGGTTGTATAATTTTAATTAATCAATTTAAAAATAGGTCAACCCTCTTTATACAACATGTAAAAAAACCGCTTATATTAAAAAAAAAAAAAAAAAAAAAAGCGTAAATAATAACAGAAAGCATAACTTTATCACCAAAGGTGTAGTAGATTAGTGTATAATATGATGCACTAATGAAAAAAAATTTCTGAATTTATGTAGTTTCTAGTTTCAATTTCGACAAAACTCTTTTCGGATATATTAACATGATGTTTATATATATATATATATATATATGTATGAAAGCAAGAGATAAAAAGTTACAGACGAATTTATTGGCTAAATAAAAAACCATGTATAAAACTGTGAATGAAATACGCATATTCTGCTGTTTCGCTTCGTGACAAGCGAATGAGGGGTAGGGGAGTATCGGTCGAATATAGAATATTAAAATGAAAATACAAAAGTTTTTTTAAAAACAAATTAAAATAGTCGGAATCGTAACGGCAATACCAAAGCGAGCTTTATTTGATCCAAAACCGGACTTGATAAACTTCAATCTGAATATATATTATACAAATACAGGAATAGGGATAGGATCGAAAATGCCGACGGTGAATTTCGACTCTAAGTTGAAAAAGCGAGTTTAATCATTTCCACGGCGGCTTGATGTCAAGAGTTTCAGACCTATGTCACCCAACCGACTCGGATTGTATCTATATAATTATTAATACTGCTGTTCGACAGAACTTCTCCGTGTCTATTTCAATGCATGGTACAGAGTTTTGTAAATACAGACACAAAATCGGTTGCAATGTCAAGGATGAATACCGAGGCACACGTTTCATGGAAAAGGTTTGACGTCTCAATGCGAACACGAAATCTAATTTTACCCGAAATACTCATTGAAATCGATGTACTCGTAGTACGTGCATAACAATAAATATAACGAATCTAGACTAACAATATATACGGTTTCCCAAAAGTTAAAAAGTCCTCGTCAGGTCAGCGAAAAATTTGTTTTCGTACAGGATCTATGAGCGTTTATAAAATGAACGATGAACATTATAAATTATGATAGCATAACATTACACATAAGGTCTGTTCGAACAAGCTATTGTGTTTGTGTCTGGCCCCGACAACCGGTTCCCCCCGATAGCGTGCCGATGATGGAATTTTCGCGAACTTTCGGTTGGCGCACTTCGTCGCGCTGGCATCACGCTCCGGGCCGGCACTTGCAACCGAGCGAGCTGGTGGTGCGTATTACCGCCGGGCGTGTGTGACTTCTCTTTTTTGCTGTCGTGCGTGTTACCGCCGGGTGTGTGACTTCTCCTTTGCCGTCGTACGTGTTACCGTCGTGCGTATCACCGCCGGGCGTATTATCCCTTTTACCGTGGTGCGTTGATTTCGTTAGCGGTGTGGTCGACGGTGGTTTTCGTCGTCACGTGTTTCGTCGTCAACCGTGTTGTGGCTGCCTGTCGACGTTGCGGTCGTGTCCAGTGGCGGGAGCATCACTCTCATCGTGGCCGTCGGGAGAACGAGGTTTTGCACCTGATTTTTTTATATACATATATATACACAATTTATTATATCTTTTTTTTTTTTGTTTTATTATTATTATTAGCACTCGAGGGCGCCCTGCTGATTATATATTATTGTGCCCTTTTTATTTTTATTTTATTATTATTATAATAACATGGTTCGACACCGACCGTAAAATATTATTGTTTTATTTTATTTATCAATAAGTCACTTTACATTGTGGGCATTTTGATTATCACAGTGAATGCGACCTACTCTCCGGTGGTCTCTGGGCCGGACTGTGTTGTAGGTATCAAGGTCTGTTTAAAAAGTATCAGGAAAAATTTAGTTACGATTAATTTATACATGATTACGTTTTACACTGTAAATATATGTATTTTCCGTGAATTAGTGAATATTTAAAAAAAAAATATGAAGTCACTATCTTATCTCAGCTTTATGACATTACATTGCTAAATCGAATCGGTTTGTTTCGTTTAGGATTTTCGATATGTCGGGAAATAACGAATCACTTTTGGTGCATCAAGTTTTATCGGAAACTTGGTAAAAATAAAACGAAAACGTTCGTCATGATTAAAACTAACATTTAAAGTGGATTTATTAATTAGTTTCCGGTCTTTCGAGTGGTTTAAATTTTCAAGGATGACCGATGGTCAACTGAAAATTATCCATGTACTAGAAAATTGTCGGCATCCAGTATTAAGTATATAGTCAGTCATCTAATGAGTCCAAGCCTTTGAGATATATTTAATACCTCTAAAAATCTTAAGCTAAATCTGGTATACAATGCAAAATATCTAAAATGATATTAGACAATAAAATCAGGGACTGAGACCGGACCGAAAAGAACCAGTTACGGAACCTAAAACCTAGTGTAAATTAAAGAACCGAAAATAACCGTAACCTGTATTTTATATTTTTAATATACCCTTACCAATACCGAAACCTGTAAACAATACCAAAAGAATACCTGTTTTTTAAGGGTTTTTTACTGTTTTCAAATTCTTATTGAAATCGAAAGAAATTACTCTTTAAACTAAATATAGGTATATTATTTAGAAACAATAATTACTTATAATAATTTATATTATACAGTATTTACGCAATGTTATATTCGGCCGTCGAGCAATGAATATAATATTATTGGCTAAGGAATATTAATATATATTAATATATTATGTATATGTTATACGATAATGTCGATAACGGAACATTTCTGATGACACATAAGTTATTTTTAAAATTACAAAAATGATACTGGGTTTTTGAATGTTTATTTTTATTACACGTCTACACGTCAAACACAGTACAAACGCATATCGTATTATCGTTATTAGTTATTATCGAATATCGATGCTCAGTGGTGAATTCGCTATAGTTGCTATTCAGTCACCGACGCATGAACACGCAGTCTACCTTTATTAGTTAAAAAGTATCAAATTAAAATCATAGGCCGTCATACCGTGTCATGCGTTTATAAATATTCTGTTTACGATAAGAAATCCAACGAGTTAGTTTGTAAATGTTGCAATGGAAAAATAAAAGTAAGTAGTTACACATTTTTGTTTTATTTAATTTCAATGTAAGTTTAAAATCATTGACAATAGAATTAAAATAATATGG